TATATATATATATATATATATATATATATATATATATATATATATATATATATATATATATATTTGCTTTAATTTATGCAAGTTAAATGCACCTTGTGTGTAGCCATATCATCCATGAGCCTTAAAATCAAACATGAAGCTTTCACCAGAGGAGGATAGGTAGAAACCCATTTGAATGTATCATCGGTGACAAAATCATTGTCGTACACATAACATTCTGTGATGATCAAGTCGTAACCACATGTTACCATGGTAACCGATATGTGTTCTTCTACAGTAGGAATATAACACTCTTTTACCCATTTGGCTTCAGTTAGGAGATTTCGAGTGCACTCTTTCACCTGGTTGACAAATGAGTGAAACACTACTTGATAATTAGATTACTATTCATAATCACTTAAATTTGTATATATACAAGAAGATACAAAAGTATAATTTAATAGTAAATAATTTATGTTTATATTACATACCATCTCTATGGTATGGTAAACATGATATGCTTTTCCTTTCGGTTCTAGTACTTCCTCTGCTTCTTTGTAAACGTCCAAAAGTTCTTGATATATGAATTTCATGTACTCCGGAAGTGTATCGATGCAGCTTGTCGGCCATCTATATACATTAAATAAAATGATCAAAATGTTGTTTAATTTAAAGAATTATAGGAACTATTGTACGTAATAAATGCATATCACATACCTTTGAACAGCTTGGGTGAAGATCTCAAGCTCTTCGTATGTACCATAGTTATCATACGTGTCATCCAATATGATAGCAAGATTGCATGTCTTCATTAGAAAAATCCTAGCATCAGAATATTGAGGCTCAAAATAGACCGCCAATATCCAAAAGTATCCTTCTACCAATCTGTCGCGAACGTAAGGTAGCCTGTTTTGTAAATCCAAATTCTTCCACCATTTATATTTTAGACACATGAAGGTGCATGGGTCAACCATAGATAAGAATTAAATGAATAGATTAACAAATTAAGGACACTAGTTAATTCTCTATCCATTTACATTTGAAAACTATAGAAGTTGTTAGGTTACGTACTTGCTGAGTTGGCTGAGCTCCTTTTTGTGGAAGGATTGAAGTAAATTGAAATCCAATATGGAAAACTTTAGTAAGGCCTCATTATGAGAAGGTTCTTTCTGGTAGATGGGTATGTAACGCAATGCCTCAAGCCTTGGCACCCTTTTCCTTAGAGGTTGTTCTAGTGCTTGTTCTATTTGGATCTTAAGAGATGCGTCCTTACACATATGATCATTTGCTATGTTTTTAAGCTGAAAAGTCGTAAAAGTAACTGCTGCATCTAAAACTTCTTCGCCTTCCACCCTCATGTATGCAGCTTCATACAAAGAAAGCATGCCTTGAACATCTTTTCTTACAGATTCCATAAAATTTCCCTTGCTATCCATATACTTCTTGAATATTCCTGAAACATTATATGTACAATTGTGATTAAGTATTGTTCGTTTTCTTGCAGATGCATTAAAACATTAAAGTGAGATATATATGTTCCTATGTGTTTAAAGATTTTGGATTTTTCTAGATTAAATTTTGCAATATTCCACGTAATTTTTGTACACCAAGTTCTTTTTATTTATATGAGATGTATTAATAAATACCACTTGAAACATTAAAGCCTTGTTGACGTAGGAGTCGGAACCAAATGGAAGTGCTTTGGAGGTTGCTATCATCAATCCAATGATCGCCATATGTAACAAAAATATGGTTTAATGTTTCTTCGATTTCCTCCTCAAAATGATAAGCTATACCGAGTCTTTGTACCACATCAATAAGTTGTATCAGCTTCATAAGTTGCATTTGTCCGTTTGAAGAAGTGAGTACGAGTTCTTTTCTCACTTCCTCTCTGAGTTCTTTAGCTTGTTGCTCCTCCCGAGCTTGATCATCTCTCTGCATGCAAATATATGAAACATTAACAAAAAAAAAAAAAAAAAAAAAAGAATAGAATGATAATTTTTGGGATGGGATATTTCTAGTAAATACACAGACCTCATTGTAAGTGAGAAACCGATCTCCCCAAATGCTACGATGGAAGTTCACTGTGCTGCGTCTAACAGCTTCTTTGGCTGATGTGTAAGAACATAGAACCGGGGAAGACATATTGTTGATGTAATGACTAAGAGCCGAAGCAAGCGATACCACAAAATATGAATGATAGGAAGACTTTAAATGAAGGTGGGAGCTCCTTTTTGCACGAATAAATTTCGTGTATAAACAATCATTAGATTAATTTTACAATCAA